GTTTCATTTGTACAAGGGGTTACAGTTAAGAGTTTGCCATAGATATCCGAGGAAATCGGGACTTGGACTTCTCAGCAATGCTGAAAATGTTAGAACTTTGGCGACTCTTGGAGATGGACTAAATGTCTTTTGTATAAAGGATGTGCACGAGTCTTTGGGGGCCAGGGATGGAATGTCATGGTTTATGTTGGTGGCCCCCAAGCGTTTGCATTATGCATTTGTTATTGGTTCATTGTCTAGGCTTGGACTGGGGTGTGATTGCTACTTGGTGGCCTAGGCGTAGAGCCAGAATACAATGTAAGAGCAGGAAGAAGGCGCGTGTCTCTTGCTGGTTTCCTGCTTGCTGTTTGCAGCCACCATGAACTGTGGCTGCACCATGACACCCTGCCTTGGAGCCGAGTATGGACTGAAAACTCCAAAAATTGTAAGAAATAAACCTTCCCTTTCCCAACTTTGAGCATCAGGTATTTTGTCTTAGCGACCAGTAAAAAGTAACTGAGACAACATGTGAAGGGTTTTTAAACATTGTGTGGAAACTTGCGTGCTAGGTTGGAAGTTTACAGTGGAAAATGACTGGAGATTTCCAACAGGCAAGAAGAGTCTCATGTTGAATAGCACATGGCAACATGCAAACTGCCACCATCACCGCAGGCCCAGTTGCCTGTGTCTGCCGGCTGTAGCCTGTAGGATGGGGACCTGTAGATACATGCATGAAAAGCAGCTCAAGGTACTACATTGTGAAGGCGAAATAAAGCTGGTGATCGAAAGAGGCCGAGATCAATTAGGAAGATACTGTTGTTTTCTTTTTACTTGCTCAAAAAGGATCAGTTGACTCCACTCTTGCTTTCTGCAATTCATTTCCATGCTGCTGTGAAAAGCTCTAAGGTTTTTATCGCAAAACCCAGAAAGAGGGTTTTGGATATCAAATATTTCCACCAATATGTGAATGAATGAAGAAAATGTGTACATATGAACAGAACACTAAGAATCCATTAAAAAAGCATGAACTGGGGACATCTGTAGCAAAATAGATGCACCTTGAGATCCTAGTGATAGTGAAATAAATCAGACACAGAAGTGTAAAGATCTCATGGGAACCCTAAATATGAATAACTTAAAGACTAAAAAGAAAGGTGAATGAAAGGAAACTGAGATGTAGCCTTGGTAGAGATAGGAAGGGGGTCTGGGACCTGGGGAACCGGAACCTTGGCGAGCGAAGGGGAGGTAGGAAGGTGTGATATGTACATGTACCAGGCCCCAGAATGCAGGGAATTATTATGCATCACAAACATACATCAATTTAAAAGAAAGATATTTTGTTTCATGTAAGTTAGAATGCATTTTCATTTTAATAGAACAGTAGGTAGCTGTGCACTCCTTTCTATAAATTTGGAAATTTGGAAAAATAAGAAAGTCCTTCTCCTTCTCTTTTAATGACTTCAGTGTTTCAACATTAGACAAGAGCATTGACTGAGTAGTAACAGAGGGACAGTTTGAAGAGAAAAGAGCAGTTCTGAAAGAGTCACATTGATATTAGGAACTGGAGGAGCTTAGGGAATAACTAAACTCTGATCTTGTAGCAGTTTCATTCACTGAGGTGGGATTTGGAGGTATGATTTGATAGCATACAACTGTACAATCTTTCTATTTCTTTGAGCACCTCAAATTAAATAATGCATTCAACATTATTCATTTTCTTCCCCCAAAGCTATTTCTTACCTAGTGTTTCCTAACGTGAGAAAATGACATTGACATTTTCTACTTAGTTCTCTAAGCAATTTAAAGTCATTTTGATAATTTCTTACCTATTTATTTGACTCATTCAATGTACCATGAAATCGCGTTGATTTTGACTCATTCTCATTACTTAGATTTCCTTTATCAATCAATGTTAGAATGATTCTTCTTAAGTGTTAATATCTGTCTTTGGACCAATGCAATTAAAAAGCAAAACACAAAATCAAAAATATCTTGTTTACTCCAATCCATTCCCATGCTGCTCTGAAATTATTTCTTTATTACTAATGTGACCTCATTACTTTCCTACTAAAACCACAATTGCTGTAAATACATTATTTTAATTTGCTGAAATCTATAATGACTTTCCTTTTCCTGTAAAATGAAGTCTCAAGTACATTTGTTTCTGGCAATGGATTTGGCTCCTGCATAACTCAATCATAAAGTGAAAACAACACAAGTCAAAAATGCATTTAAAACATCTAATCTACCAAAGTTCATAGCTCAGCCTCACCTGTCAGAAACTTAGGCCGACACTTAGCGGAGTCCACAGTTGATCATGATCACCTCACACCAAGCCTTTTTGTGCAGAGCTCACAGCTGGCTGACCAGGACCACTGCCACTGCCCACTTGGGGTGCAGCTAAATCCATATCACTAGCCTAGAAAAAAGTCAAAATCCAAAAAAAAAAAAAAAAAAAAAACCCTTTAACTGAATATATCATTTGCACTCCGTCATAGAGCTGAAAATGTGCAAATTAACAATCATTAATTTGGGGACTGTCTTTTCTAGGGTTTGTGAAACGGTCGGTGCCTTTTGGTGTTTATAAGTGTCTCTTCCACTTTATTCACCTGTCTTCTTGTTCAGATCTTTAATATTCTTCCCTCACATGTTCCTTTGAAAGGATTTCTCCCTTTAAGACACTGCTAAACTCTTTTAAATAATTTACTTAATCTTTCAAATTTCACCAGTGACTCAATTCCAAAGAATGTATTCTTTCATGATTTTGTTTAAACTGGGTGGTTTGTGTGCAGTCACTCTCTTTCCTAGCTTAATCATATGTATAAATATTGATGTGATAGTTCTAAATCAGTAATGACAGTGGCGTCTCTCTTCCGTCTGTAAACCATTATTTACCACAGCAGTCTCTATGTGGCCTACCACAACTGGTGAAAGAAAATTTTGTAGCCAGGCATGGTGGTGCATACCTGTAATCCCCGCACTTGGGAGGCTGAGGCCTGAGGATCACCATGAGTTCAAGGCCAGTCTGACCTACATAGTAAGATCGTGTCTCAAAAAGACAAAATAAAAGAAGTTGTTAAACTATTATCTGTATTTTCATTTCACTTGTATTATTTCCTGTTGCCAGAGCTATCATGGGCGATTTGGACAAGAACGTTGTATATGATGTCATATAGTTTTTAAGTCAAAAGCACTCAGTGTAGAGAAAAGATTATTTAATTAATGATAATGAATTCCATACTCCATGACTTGGGAAGAAATAGACTTTACAGTGAGAATGGCTGTATTAAGAGGATAAAAGGAGAAAAATCAGATAACTTTGCTAAGTATGGTATTGGCTGCTAGAGCAATCCTATTATGAGACAATAATATTTTAAATCTTCTCCTAATCATTTAACTACAAGAATGTCCCTAAGACTATCAAAAAGCTTTCTTATCTTTCACATACCTTCACGTTTTCTCTGAATATGTAAGAGTATTAAGGCTTTTACTATCACTGTAATTAGATCTCCTGAAAAAAGTACCTAGTTATTTTTGCCAATTCCGGATTATTCATGGTGATGGATCACTAAAACTTGAGATCATTTATAGCACATGGAAATTAGCCCTGGTTCATTATGTCTATCAGAAATTTCTACTGGAATATGAGTTCAGCTTTGAGCTTCAGCCTGTGTGCATTGGTGCTTGAATAAATACTCTTTAGTGTATGCAGTGAATTTTGAAGATAGAAAAAAATATAGTTGATTAATTTTATGTAAAATAAGCCCTGAAAAGTACTTAGCACATCATTTTGGTAGTCTGTAATTAGCCCAGAATGAGCAATAAAAATAGTGGAGTTGGGCTTTATTATGCACTGAAAAGAAAACTGAACATCTGTGGGAGCCATGGATGAAAGGAGGTTTTCCCTGAAAACTCACTTACATGATCACCAGCTTAGGAAAGTCAGTGCGAATACCTGCAAATGTGTTCTCCACCTGACTCTGCATCGGTCAGTAGTGCTCTTCCTGCTATCACATTTATTCACTGCTGCACCCCGTGACCCTTTCTCAGCAGGCCTTACTGTCACGTGGTGGGATAACTGGTGTGAATGTAAAGCTGCAGAAGGTGTAATTTCCATCTTTGACAACCATCACAATGTGTACAGTATGTAAATATTACCGACATCATAACAGATAGCTATTGAGTTATTAAGAGTCTCAAAGAAATTTTTTAAAATGAGTAGAATGTAAAACAAATACCTAAAATCTGACTTTCCCCATAATTAATATAATATGGATGATATACCAGATTATGTGCCTGTTTACTTATTCATTTCTCTTTTCATCTTTTTGTTTTTTCTCCTAATACTGGGCATTGAACCTAGGGCCCCCACTGAGCTACACCCCTGGACTCCTCCTCTTTTCCCTTTTTCATATTGAGACAAGGTCTCCCTGACTCCCCAGATGGACCAGGCTGTGCTTAAACCTGCGGTCCTCCTGCAAGCTCTCCAAGAGCACTGGGATTCCAAGCATGTGCCAGCCAAGCATGTTTCTACTAGCTCATTTATGTATTCTCCCAATTTCACAGAACTTGTAAAGCTTTCAGTATCTAATTAATTTATTTATCAATTTAATATCAAAATTTTGAGCACCTATTATGGATCATACCTCTCTAGATTATATGGGATAGTTTGCATTTTTAATATAGTTTCAGTATTAATAAAGCAAAAATTCTACTGAAGCAGTGCTTCAATCATACATCCATAAGTGTTTGCTTTTATACATATTATTTTTATAAGCTCTTTATGACATAAAAACCATTAAAATATGTACATTCAGTAGACATTTAATTTGAATACTTTAAATAATTGATTATCTGAGGGGCCTGGTACTTAGGAACCAGAAGCTCATGAAAAGATCTGAAATGATGCAATGATTGTCATCTCTCTAACCTGTGTGTACGAGTCAAAATAATACCTGATGCGCAGGACAAACACTGCATCTGTGCCCAGGAAAAGCTCAGTCTCTTGTTTCTCTTGACAGTGTGTGCACCGGGGTTCTTCAAAGCCTCGCCTCACAGCCAGACCTGCAGCAAATGCCCACCTCACAGTTACACCCATGAGGAAGCTTCCACCTCTTGTGTCTGTGAAAAGGATTATTTCAGGAGGGAATCTGATCCACCCACAATGGCATGCACAAGTAAGGAATGCCCCGGATTCTAGGTGACGCTAACTTTCCCAAGTCCCAGAAACAGCACGATGGAGCCTGTTAGCATCTATTGATTACCCGGCCCCCAGCATGGGAGTAGTGTTTTATCTTCTTGATGTAGTCTCCATCCCATTTCAGTCTTCTTGTGTACGCACTGAAAAAGTTGAATCTTTTTTCGCATTTACAACTTGAAGCATCTTTTTTCCCTCTCTGTAAATCTGAGACACAGATTTACAATTTTTCCTTTCATTGTATATTTTACTTTAGTGTTCTCGATAGCCATATACAACTTAGGAAGATCTACTTTCCTTTTAACATCAAACCTGTTTTTTCTTCTTTGTAGGCCAGTTTTTGATCAGATGTTATAAGTAAGGGACACTTTCATCTGGTTCTAACCTGCTCCACTGACCCGCAAGGTCACTGAGAAGGTCGTTCAGAGAGAGTATAGTAACATATCCAGTGCATGGAGCAGCAGGGGTGGAAAAGCACGTCTCACCTGTATAAAATCCCACGTTAGCACTGCTGTACTGCAGCTGTGGTGGTTCTTGTTGTGAATAAAATTAAGTATCATTATTAACATAGTTATGGCCATGTCATCAGAATAGAGAGATAGTAAACATAAGTGTCTGTAGTGGGTGGAGATTTGCCAGTATCTGTGATTTTTCTGGGAATGTAACACTCTTACGTATTTGTTTGCTTTTTGACAGTACTTTCAGAGTTTATCCAGAAGTAAAACTATAGCAAATAAAACAAAAACAGAAAATAAAGAATAAAAGGTGTGAATCCACTCACCTTCTCAACGTCCACCTTCTGTAGCTGTCCTTGTTTAATAACAGTAGGTCCTAGAGATGAGTATTTGCTCTTAAAGATGTTCACAATCATTTTGGGAAGTTTACCACATTTATCTAATGCTAAATAGACATTATAGATTCTATCTTGTTAATATTCACAAACTGAATTTCATCAGTTCTGAATTTTATAGTCAATGTAAATATTCTCAGAATTCCTAGAATTTTCATTTATATTAATTTTACAGTAATAAAAATCATACTGATGGGCCCAAGACTGGTTGTTTTGTAGGTTAGATTATTAGTAGTAACAAACAGTTCCTCATCAAATAAGTAAATGCAATTACTATATATACTTTTGGTAAGAAACATGATTTCAAGTGATGGACTCTGATTGCAATGCAGTTTTAAACAATTAATTAGTCGGTGAAATTGAGAGAATTTCCAAATAATAGGAAAAATGCTGGCCAGACAGTAGATTGTTATATTAAGGAAAAGCAACCATGTCTTGAGACACCTTTTAAATTTCATTAATTTCTACTTAGTATTTTTCTTGAAATGGCCCAGCTCTTTTTCAGCCTAAGTACAAGGCTCCCTCTTTGTGTATTTGCTATGTTTGGGAATAAGAATGAGCTTGGCCTTGGTGACAAGGACTTAGTTTAGCACTCTCTTAGGATCTAAGCCCCAGGCAGGCGTTGCTCTCTGTCTGGATGTGTGTGAATTTCTAATCCTGTGTCTTAGCAGGACATGAATTCCTATGTATTTCTCAAAATAGGCTATTGTAAGAATGTGTGTGTGTGTGTGTGTGTGTGTCTGTGGGTGTGGGTGTGGGTGTGGGTGTGCGTGCGGGTGCGCATGCACGTGCACTTGTGTGTGTCTGGCTGGCTGTTTTTACTTGCATTCATAGTACCACAGATACTGCATATGATCTCTATGGCTTAATTCGTATTTGGATAAAAATCATAAACTTTTGTCTTTGGTTCTTCAGAAATGAATTTATGGTTTCAACTGCCTAACATTTTTTGGAATATATATATATATATATGCATAAAATTTGAAAAATATTTTTTAATCTACTGAATATAGTTCAGCAAAAGAAACCCCAAAATTAATGCAGCCAATTCAGCTAAGAGTACTTGTCACAGTTTTACTTTTGTTCAGCCGTCATACATAATATTAAGATGCCAGAATTTTTTAGTTACACATTAAATCAGAGCTTTTACTTTTTATCTCCGCTGTAGAGCTTTAGCTTTATTGAGTTTAAGCTTCTTTTTAACTTTAGCAGTATGTGCCCCACCCAAACACTGAGCAACAGCTGTTGGAAGCAGAGTCAGAACAAAAGGAAAAATCACACTGTGTGATTTTATAGCTTTAGGTGAAAGCTGTTAAATGCAAGTGTATTTCCAGCAGGGAGGGGAAAGTCGGTGGTTTCTCATCTTTCTAAACTAGACAGATATTGCCTGTGTTTCTACCTTTTTATGAGAAGGTGATCTCGTTAGAATTTCTCCATAATGTTTCATAAATAAGGTAAACATTTCAATTAACAATGATGTTTATATTTCCATCTTAAGAAATTATTGTGACTAAAAATGACTTTTAGTTGAAGTATGTGAGGTTGAATAGATGGACAAAGTTAAAGGATTCAACCAGAAATATAGTCACTGTAGGAATTGTTTTGGCAAATGAAAAAAACATCAAATCTTTGGTAATAGGATTCCTTCGTTCAAATGTAATTTTTTACAGATTAATACCTAAATACTAGGTAAATTGCTTATTATTTTTAGATTTATTCCTCAACAGTTATGGCTTAATAAATGTTAGGTAGAAGTTATTAGTTTAGTTTTTAAAGCAAATGGCCCATGGTAGGATAATTAATGTATATCATCTTCAGTAGTTTTATTTATGTTTATGATCACTCAGATATCATCATAATTGCATTTTATTCTTTGTAAAGTGAGACTTCGAAGCAAATATATTTTCTATTTGAGAATATCAGATAAGATAACATTGACGGCTACTACATCTTCACTGTAATGTCTCATAGTCAACTTTTGAGATACACTTGCAAACAATTGTATTTCTCTTAATTATAATTATTACATTCATAAACACTTAAAATAATCTTCAGATAAGATACTGTCACTTTTCTTGAACAATCTTTTGAGCAATTTAAGCAATCTAAACTGTAGATTTCATAAATAAAATTTAATGGAAGTGTTCCATCTTAAGATGATTCTGAATATAAATATTGATACAGTTAGTCTCAATTTTTATTAACATGCAGATAAAAATAAAGTGTCTAATAAATACTACATGAAGTTAGGAAAGTTACACTGGTACTATTCTAAAATGTAATGATTTTATGAAAATAGTTTAGCTAAGTGCATTTTTTCTCTTATTGTAATGAGCTACTGGAAATTACAGTTTGACCTAAAGATCATTCAAAATATGTTGGCTTTTTACTCTGCATATTGAAGTGCCTTTGAGAATATTGAAATGAATTTCAGACTTTCAATTAAGTAAAATTCAAACTTGCAGAACAATACTATGAAAGGAATAGTGAATAAAAGAAACTTTCCTGCAGATTGTGATGTTAACCAATTACTTAATTCTCAGTGCGTTTGCACTTTGAAGAGAGGGTTTAAAATTCTGTTGGCAATTTATCAAGTAATTCTACAATCTATTGTGAAGTAGCCTAAGGTTGTTTGTCTTTAACTTGGTACAGAATTTGTCTTCAAGAACCACACTTAGGCACTATTTTTACTCAGGCTGCTGATTTAGCATGCTTCCTGTTCACTTCTTGATATCAATGAGGAAATAATCAGTTGAATCCCCAAAAAAGAGTCATTTACCACATTTTTAAAATAAATTTTTATTTGACATTATGTACACATACATAGTTTTACTCCATAATTGTTTGCATGTAACTAAGCAAAGCATCTTTTACTACACTAATGTGATAATGGGTCCCAAAGAAATCATAGCGGAGAACATAAGCACCTCAATTGTCCCTCAAAACTCTAGCGAGCTTTTCAAAGATAATTGTAAATTACAACTTTAAAAATTAATTGAAAATATATTTTTTCCTTCAGACAAGGAAGTAGTGTGGTACATTATGCCTAATTAATATCATCTTAAAATATGTTTTTCTCACTTTACTTTGCAAACCAGGACCCCCCTCAGCTCCTCGGAATGCCATCTCAAATGTTAATGAGACTAGTGTCTTTCTGGAATGGATTCCGCCCGCTGACACTGGTGGAAGGAGAGATGTGTCCTATTATATTGCATGCAAGAAGTGCAACTCCCATGCAGGTGTGTGTGAGGAGTGTGGCGGTCATGTCAGGTACCTCCCCCAGCAAATCGGCCTGAAAAACACCTCTGTCATGATGGCGGATCTGCTCGCTCACACAAACTATACCTTTGAGATTGAGGCAGTGAATGGAGTGTCCGACTTGAGCCCAGGAACCCGGCAGTTTGTGTCTGTAAATGTAACCACAAATCAAGCAGGTAAGTGCCGTGCCCAACTCAATTCTAGTATTTCAGGCCTACCTCTCCTTATCTCCAGAACCCAGGTAGTACTGACTGAGTTCTGTGAAGAACATTTTCAACCAAAACGTCAGGGCTTAACATGTAACACATCTCAAATGCTTTTTTAGTTGTAAGTAAAAAAAAAAAAAAAAAAAAAAAAAAAAAAACTAAGACTTAGGTCATCGACAGATCAGAAAGATATATATTTTAACTGAATTTTTTCAATAAAAATGAATTTCTGGATCAAAATTATATTATTTCACACAATACCTCTACACTTTTTTTTTTCCTTTTACCCTACCAAATTTAACCATTTGGTTATTTGGCACGTGATTAGGCAAATTTTACTGTCTTGTTGGTTTGCTTGAATGGTACCACAGATGAATTTTAGTCTCAAATTGTAAGTTTTTCTTATTTTGATAACAAAAATGAGTGAAGTGAAATTTCCTTTGTTAAACTCATTTATAGACATTGGAAGAGCTATGAGCCATTTTACTGCTACATGGAAACTCATCTGTGTTCTAGGTAGAAATGTTGGAATTCTTAGGGAATAACCGGTGCATAGGAAGGAATAAGTCCTGTCCAAGCCACTAGTTCCCCCAGATTTTCCCTCCAATTTTGACTATAAAGCTTCTTTTCTAGTAAAATAAAAATAAAATTTAATCCATTGGTGACTTATTAATACTTCATTCCATGGGGAGAAAGAATCTTTCCAAACCCAAGAGCAATTTAAAACTTGTTTTGATCCAACAACAGGGAAAAATGAAGGCATTAAAACCAAAATGTTATAGCTCTACTTTGGTCTGTAAGTTGCTGAGGATTCTCAGTTCAGGTTTGCAGTAAGCCCATCACCTCATTAGTACCTCAGTGGGCTTTGGTCAGTGAGCAATCTTTGCCACCATTCCTGATGCAGTATGTTTGAACTCAGTTGAGCTTAGTTCATACACTAATAGAGTAAGTTTGTAGGTTGTAGAATGGGGATTGATGAGGGACTACTATTGATTATCAAGTCTCAGCCAAAATAAGTACTTTGGTGTGTTGAATATGTCAGGTAATGTAAGAATTTATTCTTAAGAATAAAAGATACAATTGAGCTCCTGGTTAAGTTTCCGGTTCAGTTCCTAGATTGATAAATCCAAGGGAACATTCAAGGATACCCAGTAACAAGGCAGTGAGACCTGCTTTGTGTTCTCATGCTTCATGTATGTCTACAGCTTTTTTCCACAAATAATACACACCTACATGTGCCATTTTCCTCAGTGATTCCTTTGTATATTTCTTCACTTACTTTTTACTCTGAAGTGGAACTAACTGAAATACTAAAGAACTGGACAGGAAGATGCAAAATTGGCTTTTCCTTCAGTATAAGGAAAAGACAATCTTTAGCAATCAATGTTATCAAATGTCAATAGTCATGCTAGTTGTCAAAGTGCTCGGTAAATGTGAGCTATGTTGTATTAAAAAAAATACAAACCAGTGATTTCAGGCTTTTAGGCAACATTTTTCCAACCTTCCTTGATTCTACTAGGTATCTTACTTTATCATGTTAAAATCTCACTGTCTCCTTGGGGAAAAAACTGTGATGCTTGTGTAACCTTAACTTCTTTGGAAGATATTCCTTTGATGAACTATGTATAGAAAATGGCTTTCTTGTTCTAGTAGTATGCTCAGTAAGTACAACCAGTCTTTCCCTTTCCCTTGCTGACTGTTCGGACTCCAATGTGTGTTACTTGGATCGTGAGTGTTTTAAATACAGCTCTTCTGTTAAACAAACATTTGTAATCAGAGCAGACATTTGGTTGTAAAATCCTTACAAACCTATCCTCAACCTCCCAGTAAGATTTTTCTTATTCCACATCAAATAAATTTCAATTTGCACAAAAAGTGTTATTTTAAGCAGTTTATTTATTATGTCATATTTAATGCACCACAGCTAAATGCTTACATTCTAATATCATAGGAAGTTTATCGAAGTAGTTTTTTATCCCTGCACACTTTTCAACGTTGAATAACGTTACCTACATTATATGAGATTATTATATAAATTTCCTTTGTGTGCATTTTACCTTCAGTTGCAAGCTGCTTTAAGATCTATTTTCTAAATGATGCATTTCTTCCTTGAGTATTATATTTCAAATTTCTAGTTGGCTCAACAGTTGTTCCAACATGTTCTGATGGATACGATTATTTTGTGTGTGACAGCAAAACAAGGATGAACTTTCCAGATTCAAAAAGGACAAGAAGAAAAAAACAGTTGTTTGTTCAAGATAAAAATGTTGCAGTAAGTGCCAAAGTGAAATTGGTTACCTAACCCTGATAATCTATAAAATGTAGAAATTAGATGATTAATGTGTGGATATTTATAGAGAATACTAAACATTTTCTCAACAACCACATTCTCATGAACCCTAGCATTTTGCCCTTAAGAAAGTTATCTAATTTTAAGTGATACCATTTTTGTAATTTAATAGTAAATTAAAATGAAAAAGTTGTTAGGAATGTATTTGAATTCTTTCAGTCTATGATTCTTATAATGTGTAGCCACAGCTCTGAGATTGTATGAAAGAATTCTAAACTGTTTGTGATATACGTGTTTGTGTGTGTGTGTGTGTATTTGTGTGTGTGTGTGTGTGTATTTGTGCGTGCATGCATGCGTGTGTGGTGTGTGCCAGGGGTTAGCTCAGCAGTACAAAGACCTGCCTGGCAAGCATGAGGTCATGAATTCGAGCCCTGGTATGAAAAAAAAAAAAAAAAGTATGAAGAAGAAAAAGAAAAAGTAGTTGTAGCATAAGTGTTAAATAATGCTGCCTTTAGGGAAAGACATTATATGAAAATTAAATGTTAATTCATAAATAGCATAATGAGCTCTTACCAAACAAATTGGAGCAGGGATAAAAAGTGGTTGTGCATACTATGTGTTTTCAAACTTAGAAAAGGAATGTATATATTTTTCTAATGAGTATATATGACTTAATATATTATTTTTTAAAAAATTGACTATAATAATCTTCATTTGCCAGAAGAGTATTTAGAATCATTTAATTACAACACTTATGTGGCTCTTCTATTTTATTCTTTTAGGAAATCTACCCAAAATTAGTAATAATTAATATGCAAAAGTACATGATTCTGGTTATGGGCTGAAATGGAACAATTGTAATTGTTTTGAGTTTAGTTCAGACTTTGCCCCGGGACCGTGTTGCCGTGGAAGGTGGCAGTGGGCCGCAGCTCCCCCTCTTAGCGCTGAGAGAATGTCCTTAGCCCTGCAGAGCCGCAGACCGTCAGTCCCAGGACCGTGGTGAGCCTTACTCCCCGGCGCCCGTGTCTGTGTCTGCAGCACCGTGCTGTCCATTTCACCTGGTCCTTGCAGCACTGCTGTAGGTGGCCACCGCCCTTCATAGATGGCCTGACAGCCCAGAGTTTTGAAAGCCTAAGTTAGACTGCAAAACTGGACATTGCGGAGTATACTGAAACAAGAAATTGAAAGCATTTTTTTCTCTGAAGGGCAAACAAACCTTTTGTTGTGGCCTCTGTTTATCAAGATGCTTTAAAAAGCATTGCCGTTTGTTAGATAATTGTTATAATTCTAAGCACCAGGGCTTCGTTTATTCTCCTCAATGCAAACCTCTATTGGCCATTTTTATCATCACTGCCTGGTTAAATCTATTTTTATTTGCCAATTTTAATCTTTTCATGGCAGAGTAAATGTTTTACCTATAAACACTAGATTCGCAAAAACTTAATGATAGGATGGGATGAAGATGTCACTTTGTCATCTTCGGATGAACTCAAGTCAAATTCTACTCACCCTCCATGGCTCTACTTAAGGCCAGTGCTGCTTCGTGATTCTCTCAACCCAGGGGCGTTCATGGTAGCCTGGGGGCAATGTTCAGTAATCTCTGAAGGTTTTTGGCATCTCTCCCCGTTCCTTTCTCTCTCCAGGGTGTTTAAAACTTGTCACAGTTATCAGTAAGAAATACTAGATGGGCATTATACACTATTAGCATGTGATTCGAATTCAGAGCACTTTTCTAGAGTAATTACTTTTCAATTGAATAGCTGTAAAGTAGATACAGGCATTCAAGTGTGGAAATTATTAAGGAGCTCTGGCTCACTATATCGTTAATAATGAACTTTTTCCAGCCAGATTTTGATGGTATAGAGCTTAGGGTTCATTATTTCACTCCATGTACATGCAAGCACTGTAGTGTTACCATTGAAATCCTGCTGCCTGTTATGAAATTCATACCCACTTGCAGTTCAGGGGTTGCATGGTACTCTGACTTCTGTCACGCCTATACCTGAAATGATCAAGAAAAAATTTCCCTATTGCTTCACGTTTATGTTCCATTATAAAGAACATAAATGATAGAAATTAAAATAAAAGTTTCAGTGTAATACATTTTATTTTTTATCACCCTTTCTGAAATGGGTAATCAGTGGGTAGTTGACAGATCTTAAACAATAATTCACCTTAGTATTACTATTTCAGAAGGTCATTTCTACCTTAAAAAAAAGAAATTTCCAGCATCTGAACTTTCCTTTGCACGGGTCACCTTTAATTACAGATTTCTGCCACTAAGTGTAGAGGTATGTAGCACGTGTACCCACCCCCCAAACAGCACAGCATCTGCGATCATGTATCTCTGCCGGCCTGAGCGAAATTCTTGCTTGTTTTTACCTCAGGAATGCATAAAATCTATTTTTGTCCATATTCCTCCATGGTTTTTCAAATTAAACTGTACAATCCAGTAAGTCTTGAAGCTTCCTCTCCCCGACATTGAATAGATAATTGGTTCCCAAGAGGATGTCAGGATTTGAGTTCAGATGAATCATAAGCTGGGGAGAAAGAGAGTTGCTCCCCATTATTAGTTAATCACCTAGATAAGATGTGGACTTGACACAGAGGTGAGGAGACGGCTGCCAAGGTCAGCTGTGGGCCTGCTGCATCTAACTAGGAGACGACTCACTGAGTTAAA